AAGGCAACCGGGGTAAATTCTGTCACAGACACAATTACGGAAAAAGTAACTTTAAAACATTATTCACGCTTATATAAAATTCACGACTTGATCCTCTTGTGCTGAGTCTGGCAGCTGTGTTCCAGGCTGATCAGAGCCCAGCAGGCCCCATGGGCACAGCCATCACCCCAACACCCCATTCACCCCAACTCTCAGCTTCTTTGCCGGCTCCCTGCAAGGTCCTTCTCCCATCTAGAAATCCCAAGAGTGGACTTCTAGATCTGGTGCTCACCCCTAAGCGTGGCCTGGCTGGGTGACCAGAGGCCGTGGGGGTGGGGGGCTTGGCATGGGGTCTTTGAGGGCTCTGAGGCTGTGGTCATCTGAAGCCTGGTGACCATCAACCTGCTCACCCCTTTGGAGGGCCTTTGTAGGCACTGAGCCCCGTCCTGTTGGGGTTCCTTCCACCTGCTCCATGATGGGGCCCTGGAGACCCCCAGTCAGAGGGACGCCGAGGACGGAAGTGAAAAGTAGGCTTGGTCAGCGTGGTGATCGGGCTTCCCGGCTCTGGTTATGTGCATGCCACCCGTCCCATCTGCTTTTCATCAGGGAAAACAATTTCCCAACTGGGTGAGGGAGGGCCCACGTCTGTTCAAAGGGCACTGTTAGCTGTCCCTCCTGTCCTCTGCATAGGGCCTCTGGACATACGTCACCACAGTGGTGCCGGGACCCTGGGGGAGTGGGCTGAGCTGGGAAGTCTACCATGTAAGTCCTTCCACGGGGCTCCTTCCTCTGGCTAATCCCACCTCCAGGCTCCCCTAGGCAGCTGCCCAGTGCTAAGCCCCAAGTCCCAGGGCTGCCCTCCCGCCATTCCCACTGTCCTGGCACCCACAGCCTTGGTTCAACTGTCTCTTCAGGTGTAGTCGTTAGAGGAAGCAGCTGAGTGTAGCTCGGCAGCGGCTTTGTTGGGGGCACTGTGGGGCTGTGGCCCCTCCTCTGTCCTCCCCGCCGAGGCCCGACGGACTTCTTTGGGAGCCACTGGGTGTCTGCCCAGGGCCTGTCTCGCATAGTAATGCTTGGAGCAAGGGGCAATGGCTTCTGAGGGACCCCAGGGGTGCAGTGGGGGACACTGCAGTCCCTGGCATATGGCCTCTTGGGTTCCACCCCCTGGTGCCATCTGTCCACCTCCTTAGCTGGACCCTTGGAGCTGTTCCTGGGCTGGTGCAGCTCCTCGTACTGCACTCAGGGGGCTGCAGTGGGGCCTGGCCAGGGGCCCTGTGCTCAGATGGCCGCCCTGGGCCCCGCAGACCTGCTGGCCGTGGGGTGGGCAATTAAAGCCCCTTGTCTGCAGTCGGTTTGCAATATTGGAAATGAATTGCCACCAGCCGGCCGTCATCTCTACCTGATAAAACATCACTTTTATTGATTGTCTTCCCAAGAGGGCGTCCATCCTGCCTGGGAGCTTTGCACGGGGGGGGGGGGGGTCAGTACTCCGCATGGGGGCTCTGCATGGGGGTTCACAGGGGCACTTCAGTCTTGATCAAAGTGGAGGCTGTTTTTAACCCTTGGGGCTCCAGAGTCGCAAGCAACTTACCCTCCTCTGGGTCCCTTATTCTTTAAACTCAGGCCCCGCTTGGATAGAAGGGTGAGGACTGAGGTCTGGTCAAGATGGAAAGAAGGGACAGGGAGGTGGGGGCCTGGGCCCTCCGGAGACCCTCCCTTTGTCCTCAGCTGCCCTCTGCAGACCTCCTGGGGCCCTCTGCCTTGGGGACTTCCCCTCCCTGGGCCTCGTTATCCCTCACAGCCCCAGCCCACTCCTGATGGACTCTGGGCCCTGTCCATGTGCCGCTGTATGACCACACAGCATCCTGTGGACACGGCTCCATGTCTCTTGGGCAGACACCTAGGACCCCACTTGGGGTGACTTGGTTCTTTCTCAAGGTGACCTCACAGGACAGAGACTCACTCCCTAGGACATCCGGGCTGTATGTGTGAACAGACTGACTCACACGCTCCTTCAGGCATCTGGGAGCTCTGAACCGTCAAGGCTCTAGTGAGCCGTCCACACACGGCCCACTGCACCGCCAGGGATCCCACACACCCAGGACTCTGCTCTTACACCCATGTGCAAGCAGTAGACTGCAGGGATGTCTACAAGCCCAGGCACTCCAAGGATGGTGGGGAACCCCTAAAACTGGGGAGAGGACTCCACCTCAACCACCCCCCCCAGCTGGATGCAGACATCTGATCACAAGAGTGGATAAAGGTCCCCCCCGTTACAGCCTGGATCTCAGGCAGGGGCCCACTGGGCCTGCTGGACCTGACCGAGGGGTGCCCTGAGGCCTAGACTCAGCTCCCAATTAAGAGTTATTGGGAAACACCCCCAACTCCTTGAGGGGAGTCAAGCTGGGTCTAAACTTAGCCCAAATCCATATGTTCCTTTTCCAGGCTGGAGGCTTAGGTCAGTGTGGGCCCCACTTAGCCCATGGGAAGGGGCAGGTGGGCAGAGAGGCCCAGCCCAGATGCCCCAGGAGAACCCCCAGGACAATCTGCAGTCCAGATGTCCCAGGGGGACCTCCCAAGATGATCTGTGGCCCAGATTCCCCAGAAGGATCCCTGCCCATGCCGTTCTTGGGGGATCCTCAACCCCAGGTCCTCACTTAACTCTAGGCACTCAGGAAGCCACGGTTCTGGCCACTGGAGAGCTGTACAATAGTTCATATATTTATTCTTAAGCAAGTTATCAATAAAAAATTTCATACTAAAATGCCTTTACATAGAGTCTGCTGTTCATAAAACTTTTGTGTTTGTTTGTTTTTAGTGTTTACATTGAAAAAAAAATTCCCACCATCATCTTACTTACACATTTACAAGAATCTCGCTTCCCCGAGTCTGACACGGTGGGGTGGGGACGGCCATCCACACACAGACAGAAGGATGGGGAGACACAGCAAGATGAGAAGGTGGGGAGCACACAGCAGAGGAGACATGGGAGGGGGAAGCAGGCTCCAACGTGCGGCCCCGCGCTGGAATCGCCGTGTTCAGTCCCGCCCCCTCCCTCCCTCGTCCGGGCCACTCAGAAGCCCCTGGAATGACGTATTGCACTCGAGCCAGGACAAGAGGGAGATCTGGGGGTGGAAGCACTGCAGTGGGGTGCAGGGGTCCCCAATAATGCCATGGTCTCCTGTCTCCCCATGGTGCCAGCAGGGGTGTTAGGTGCTGGGGCTCTCGGCATGGAGTGACAGCAGTGGCACGCAGACCATCCAGTGGGAAGCTTGGTCATGTCACTGTGGGGTCCCACAGAGGTCATCCTAACAGGTAGTGGCTATGAGGGTGCCTTCCTGCAGCACCAATGGGCACAGATGGGGCTCTGACCACACTTCCAGAGGAGAATACTGGGCAGTAGGGCCTGAGGGGCCAGCTCCCCATCTCTCTTGGATTACTGGGGGGCATGAAAGCAGAGGGGCTGACAGCTGGGGGGTGTTCCTGTCCTCATCCCCCTCCCCAAGGTGCTCCACACCTGGTTACAGGAGAGCTTAGAACCTCTACAGGTACGGGGGCCAGTCCTGAGGAAGGGGGGTGTAAGAGCACAGGCAGCGATGGGGTGCTGTCTCTGGTGGCTCCGCAGCTTCGGACTGGGCTGTCACCAGCCCTGTGCTGCTCAGGGGTCAGTGATGCAGGGCCGGTGTGAGGGACGCCTGTACCAGGAGGGCTGAGCAGGGGCAGTCCTCATCCCCTGTGTTGTCCAGAGCGAGCTGCCCTTCACACTGGCCCGGGACTCCAGAGAGCCACTGGGGTGCCAAGGGTAAAAGGTGTACCACAGGGATGGGTTGGGACAGGAAGAAGGGGCAGAAATGGGGGAGGAGGCCCTGTCTCCACTTGAAGCCCTCCCCAACACACCAAGCTGAGAAGTAACTTGGAATATTCAGGAAAAATCCCCAAATACTTCTTACAGATGCCGGAAAGAGATTTGTTCGCTTTGTGTTGTTTGGTTTTTTTCTTCTTTGTTTTCTTGTTGCGTGCCATCGAATCGGATCCGACTAGAACAGGAGGAGACTGTCCCTCCTTCTCCAGGGGAGCATCTAGTGGATTCGAACTGCGCGCCTTTGGGACTGCAGTGCAGCTTCTTGCCACCTAGGCCGCCAGAGCTCCCCCCCCTTTTTTTTCCTTTCTTTTTGTTCACTTCATTTTGAATGGAGGTAAGTGGAGGTAAGATATGTATGGCTGCGTGCTCTGAAGGACGGGGGTGGTCAACCAGGCCAATCTAGACAGTGAACCCTCTTTTCCCTCTGGGGCCTGGTCACTGTGCCCCCTCCAAGTGCTTATTCCCCAGGGGATGGCTGGAAGGAGCAGGATGTCTGTCCGACAAGTCCCCCAGAGATGAGAGTGGGGCCTGGAGGGCCTGTCCCCTCCCTGCGGGGCCAGCTGTGCCTGGCTCACAGCTCCCATCCTGCCTCAAGCTACCTGTCTTCAGGTGCTCACCCCACCTCAGCTTGGCTGGTAATACAGTGCATTTTCAAAGAAGAGAAACTGTCCCAACACCACACACACACACACACACACACACACACACACACGCTCGGGTGTGCACACGCCCTCAGCACACCAGTAGGGGAAAACCTTTTCCACATTTTTTTTTCCATAAAACATCGCCGCAGAAATACAATATTTACATAGAGAAATAAATAGACAATCACCTGATTTCTGTTCCCTGGTGGGAGGCAGGCGGAGGTACTAGGGAAAATATGGCTTGGATTCTAATCTCTCGTCAACTGCCAATGTGGGGGGCAAAGGTTCCCCACGGGTGGGCAGGCTGAGGTCAGGGCCCCAGTGGGCACAGCTTGCCCCCACAGCGGATGGGATAGGACTGGATTCCGACGCCAAAGAGCTTGCTCTTTCCAGGGAAAATAGGAATAAAAAGCCTGAATCTCGTGCGGTGGGTTTGCATATTTCGCTCCGCCGGTCCCTTGGAGGGAGGTCCGAGGGGCTGCCCGCTCGGCGGGGCCTGCAGCGTTGGGCCCCGGTCAGCACAAGATGGGCACCCCGTCAGCGGTCACCAACCGCCCGGTGGTTGGGTCGTAGGTGCCCGCCAGGTAGTAGAGGTCCTGTCGGTCCTGGTACCTGCGGCCGCGGGTCATCTGCTCATACTGGTCACGCCCCACCACCTGGCACTTGTGGGAGATGGTCTGCACATCATTCTCATCTTCATGGCACGACTGGTACAGGGCATTCTGTGGGTGGGCGGCAGGTGAGGCCAATGCCTGCTGCCCCTGCGCCCCTCGTCCCCAGCACTGAGGAGACCCTATCCGCAAGGACGCTGGAGAAAGCGGGGTGGCCAGCATGCAGGTACCCTCTGCTGGGCCTCCCTGGCTACTCACCTTGCAGAGGGCAGAAAACATCTTCCCCCAGAGGATGGACCCCTGACCAGCATGCAGCTTTGTCTCAGGGAAGAACACAAGTGGGGGCCATGGTTTTGTTTCTGGGGTTGGGGCTGAGGGTTCTGCTCCAATCCCAGTTGGGTGGGAGGGTCAGATCTCACAGGGACCAGGACCTGCTAGTGTGTGCTGCCGGGGTCACTGCACAGAGGGTGACATTAGACACTCTACAGGGGTTGCTGAGAGGAGAGGTCCCTGACCTGCCCGCCGGGGGCCTCTCCTAAGCCAGCCTAAGGGTGGGCCTAGCTGCATCTGGGTGCAGGCTGGTTTGGGGAAGTGAACAAACCTTGCCATCACTCTGTCGCTTGCCCAGCTTGGTCTCCTCTGGGTGGTAGAACCACTTGACCTTGACCACCATGTTGCTGCCCCAGGACTCCCACATGCTCTCAATGCGGCCGATGTAGGGCAGGTTGGGGCGGCCAGCCGACAGGAAGACGGCGCAGTCACCCACACACAGTGTCTCCTTGCCTCGGACGATGGCCTTGTAGAACAGCTTCCGGGCCTTTCCCTTCATGCCCCGTCTCTGCAGGGAAAAACCCAGACGGAGGCAGTGAGGGGTCCAGAGCCCACGTGAGAGAGGTGAAGAGGGAGGGGACACAAGCTGGCGTGTGCCCTGTGTGCACACTGGTGTTGGCGAGGGAACCCGCAGAGCCTGGATTCACTCTGCACCTGGACACCAGACTGTTCTAAAAGACTGTGAGATGTCCTGAGCCGCACACCTAAGTGCAAACCTCTGGGTGAATACAGATGCTACTTGGTAACAAGGCAGCAGCTACTGGTAACATTCTATCTGCGCTGACCGGTCACCTGGTCTCCAGGCTTTCTTTAGAAGACAAGCGCTGGTGCAGTCGCTCACAGCTCACCAAAAGGCTGGTGGTCTGCAATCACCAGTCACTCCAAGGGAGATAAAAGGAATGGTCTGGTCTGCCGAAAATCACAGCCTTGAAAACTCTCTGGGGCTGTTCTCTCGCACGGATGCTAGGCCTCAGAATCGACTTCACGGGAGTGAGTAGACCGCCAGGCCTTTTCTTCAGCAGCTTCTCCGCGTGGGTTTGAATATTTGGAGAAGCTTTCAGGAGGAGGAGAAGGCATCTGCACAACCTCTCTGTAAACCTAAAACTACTCTAAAAATAAATTCCATATAAAAGAAGGTGTGATTAACTAAATGTCCTCCCATACAGTACTGATGGAGGGGGAAAAAAAGAATTGTTGCGTCTTCCAAACCTGGTGTCCCCCTGGGCCTATAGAGATGGCTGAGTGGTCAGTGCAGAGGACGCCTGAGCCGTACGCTACACGGTGACGTCAGGGGGAGGCCGGGCCAGGCACAAAGGGCCGGAAGGGAGACTCACGGGTTAAAAGCCTCTGTTGGCCCTGGGAAGAGCTTCCATTGAGGTGCAAGGGAAACACTACTCCCCAGAACCGTGTAAGAAGGAGAAAGCAGATCCTGGGTCTGACTCCCCCCTACCTGTGTGGGGTTCCCTGACCATTTCCAGAGCTGCCGGGCGGGCAGGAAGGCCGAGATCTTTGGCCGGTTTTCTACGGAGGGCAGCCGCTGCCTCCGCGAAGGCTCTTTGGCTTTGGAGAAGCTCAGGGCCTCCTTCCGCTTCAGCTTGGACTTGCCGCTGCTGGGGCCAGCCACCGTGCCCGCACTGGCCACCGCCGCCCGGGACAGGAAGCAGCGCTGGGCGTGCGCGTGAGGGCTGCCGCCCTTGGGGCGCAGGGAATCGGGCTGGGCCAGGAGGGTGGGCACAGGGTGGGTGAGGCACGTCTGCAGCAGCAGAGCTGGGTCCCCGTCCTCGGAGCTGAAGGAGGAGTCCTCATTGTCTGAGGAGCAGAGACTGGACGTGGACACGGAGCCCGAGGACGAGGACGTGGAGGAGCCGGAGGAGGACGAGGACACGGACAGGCGAGTGAGGAAACGTGAGGGCACACCAGCGGCCAGCCCGGGGCCGTCCCCGTCCTCGTCTGAGTAGGAGCTGGGGCAGTCACTGTCACAAGGCAGTGGGTACTCAGCCTGGCCCGCCGCGTATTTGCGCAGTGCCAGCCCCATGGGCAGCGGGTGGACAGGCGCCCGGCTCTTCTTGTCTTTGCCCACCAGGGCCGGGTGCGCGTAGCTGGGGGAGGGCAGGGGCCGGCCCAGCTTGGGCGCCAGCTCCTTGGCGCCCATCAGCAGCGCCTTACAGGTCTTGTTCTTAGGGGACGTCACCCCTTCGTGGTCCAGCTTGACCAGGAACTCGCCGCCCGCCCGCCGCCGCCCGCCCTTCTCGGCCTCGGCCTTCTTGGCTCGCAGCAGTTTGTGGGCCCCACCGGGCAGGCCGGGCGCGGCGCCGCCGGCGAAGGGTGCGTAGGAGCTGGCCAGGCTGCTGAAGGAGGCCGCGCGGAAGCCGTTGCCGAACACGGGCGCGGCGGCGCTGTGGACCGGGAAGAGCGCCTCGCGGGCCCGCAGCTTCTTGGCGCTGCCGCCGAGCTGGAAGAGGTTCTGGAGGGCGCTGGGGCCTTTGGAGGCCGCCTTCCGCTTGGTCTGTGAGACGGCTGACCAGCTCAGCAGAGGGCCAGCCCGGCGGCCCAGGAAGTGCTCTGCGGCTCCGGCAGGGGAGTTGGCACCTGAGGTTAGCAGGTCGGCTTTGCCTAACAGAGGGAACCGGCGGTCAGGCGGTCTCTGCCCACCTCTCCCAGGCCCGGGGCCCCGCTGAGCCGCCCAGAGCCCGGTCCCCGCAGCCCCACAGGTACCAGCTTTATCTTTACAACTGGATTTCTTCCCAGGAAGCTTGGAGACTTCAGGGCCACCATGCATCTTGGGGGACAGGTTGGGGGCAGGGGTCTCATTGGGTGGGGGCCCCTCGACGGATGATTGCTTGCTTTTCCGGCAGCTGCTGGACACCAGCAGAGCAGGGGAGGGCTCTGTGCCTGTAGGCCAGGCAGACAGGGCATGAGGCCTGGGCCCCAAGGTCACCACCCCCCCACCCCCCAGAAACATGGCCCAGGGCAGTGTGAGGAGTGGACCCGGCAGGACAGGAGGCCCATCCATGAGGCCATTTCCCCAGGGGACCGCACCTTCCTTGGAAGGCCACCATGTGAGGACTGGTTTTCTCCAAAGGCCTGCCCCCTCGCTGTGGGTCACATCCTTCCCAGGACCCACGTGCCCTAGCCCCCTCCCTCGGGAGCCCCCTCTGCAGGGAGGCCGCCTCCCCTCTCCAGCATCCTCTCCTGCCACCCCAGCGGCACTCACACTGGATCTTGAAGTCCGGTGGGAGCAGTCGGATGTTGGAGACGGCGATGTGACCCGTGTCTCCATCATCAAACTCCACCACCACAGAGTCCAGGTCTTCCTCGTCACTGGAGGGGCCTGTGGAGGACGGACCCCAGCGTCAGCTGGACTCCACTTGCCGCGGGTGGCCACCCTCAGGGCCCAAGGGCTGGCAGATGTCCAGGACTGGAGGTGGGGTCATTGGAATGTGGGGAGAGGGTGACAGGCCAGGCTCAGAGACCGCTGAGGAATGAGGTGGCTGACCGCCCCCAGCATCACATGTGGCCTGGATCTGCCCACCAGCCCTGGGCCAGGTGCCTTCTTGGTGTCCTGGCTGCGGCTGCCATGTTCCCACCACCCGTCGCCCCGTGGAGTGGATTCATGTACAAGGACGCACAGGGACACGCCGCCGAGTTCCACCCGTGGCCTCTGCCTCCCCAGCCTGGGCCCCACACGGCCTGCCTCAAGGCTAGCAGGTGAGTGGGGTTCCTGCAGGGACCCCAGGACCGGGCTCTGATGTTCTCACAGTCAGACTGCTTCTGGCTTTGTGGAATGGCCCAAGTGACCTCCGCCCTTTGTGCCCCCTCTGTTTTGGGGTGACACCACAGCTCTCTGCCTGCTCCAAGGGGAGGGGGAGGGCCAAGGGGCTGTGGTGAATGTTCAGGGAGGCAGAGTTCCCCCCGGGATCCTTCGTGACCCTGCGCTAGGCCTGGGGGGCTCACCCCGCACCACATTGCCAGGATACAGACACCGTGACTTCTGGCTCCAGTAGGCACAGACCCGCGTGCCTGGCGGCAGACAACGGCTGGACTGCGGCCGCACATCCAGGACCTGCACGGACAGAGGGGCGCCAGCAGTGAGTGGGCAGGGCCAGGTGACGCAGGCTGCGGGGTGTCCCGGTCGAGGGGCCTCACCGCCTCCTGGAGCAGCTGTTCCAGCGAGTAGATCCGCTGTCGGTTTGCACGTTCACCATCGATCAGGATGCTATAGCTGGGGGAGGCGCGGGTGTGAGAGGGGCCTGCGGCCACCCGGGCACCCCCCTCCCACCGCCTTCACCCCTGGCCTACATGTCGGGGGGCTGCAGGGTCCTGACGCTGCCCGCGTACAGCAGGCTGTCCTCCTTGGGAATCAGCACGGGCAGCCCGTCCTGCAGGTCCTCCTTACGGATGACACAGGAGCGTGCTGCGGGAAGGGGGTGTTGCTGAGGGGTGGGAGCCGCGCCCTCCTGGGCCCCCACTCGGCCAGACCCCAAATCTCCCTGGGCCTCCACCCTGGTGGTCCCCACACAGCCCAGCCTCCTCTCTGCCTGAGCCCCAAGCTCCACGCTTCTGCCCCAGTGCCCAGCCCTCTCCATCCAGCGGGGCCTCCACCGTCCTCGCCCCAGCTCCTGTCCTCCCCGTAAGCATCCTGCCCATTCCTGACCCAGATGGTGCAGCCCTGAGCCCCGCAGCCCTGAGGCCCTGGACATCCACAGCCCAGCCCAGGTGCCCGACCCTGTCCCCTCCACATGGCCTGGCCTGAGCCCCTAGAGCCCACTTTTCACGTCCTGACCCTTCTTCCCCCAGATGGCCTGGTCCGAGCCCCCGAATTCCAAGGCTGAGGAGGTGGCCCTGCTCTGCTCACCCAGGGCGGCACTCTGCTCTGCGTTCAGGGGGCCACTTGCTTCCTCTTCCTCTTCCTCCTCCTCGTCTTCCTCTGAGAAGCTGCTGTTGTCATCAAACTCAAAGTCATCCTCCACAGCGAAGCTCTCCAGCAGCCGGCTGACCGCCCGGCCCTTGCCCTGGGGAGCAGAGGGGTCAGCTCAGGG